TAAGAAAATATCCATTTAGACTGCTTGTTCATAGACATGAAAGGCCACTGTTTAACTTTTGAATGCCATATATTTTTAAACCCTTACTATTAAATTATTATCGCTATTGTGGTTATTATTACTTACTTTATTCTTATCCTGCCTCTCTCCCCATAGGAGCTCAAGGCAGCTAACAATAACATGACACAACACCACAGAATTTAAAAATAAGACAAATACATATATAAATACATTTTTAAAAATATGAGTGTGGTGGTTATAAAAGTTAAAATACAATTAAAATGCAATAGAAGTACAATTTAAGTTACATTTAAAAGCTAAACATCTCACCAATATCCCACTCACATGGTTCAGAAGGAGAAGCACTTGCTGAAGGTTCTTCTCTAGCCTCCTATTTTTCTATCCCCCTTTTCTATCGCTTGCTCATTTCCCATGCTGTTCCTGAAAAATGTCTGAACTCTATAGAGCAGTTTTTCAGGAAAATTGGGGACTGCATGGGGAAATCAATAAAAGGTGTTGCCACTTCCTTCTTATTCTGCCATTATAAAATAATCAACTGAGTGAAAAACTTTCTAGCCTTCCATAGAAAAAATGCAAGGTCTGGATTCAACCAATGTGATTGTGGTTACCCAATATATGCTGGTATTGACTGTCACCATGTGAAGTTAGTGGACTCAAGACAATCAATATGATCACCCACTGTACACACAAGGAAGCATGCTAATTTCATATTTGTATCATAGAATATGCTTCTGACCCACCAAAGCTTTATATGTGTTCATTCCTCCGATATAATATTTCTTATGTTTCCATTTATCACTTCAAGGAGAAAACTTTCTATCCAATACATTCTTGCCCTTCTCTTTAAAATTCCAAGCACCTGAGTGCATTCCTAGACATACTTAGGAATAAACAGCATTAAATTTAACAAGACCTATTTTTTAGCAGATTATGGCCACCATGTGATCTTACTTAAAATTTTCTGCTTATGTGAAATAACATAATATAGAAATCCTTTAATCTTGCTGTGCCACCCCATCTCCACAAGTAATTCTGTACAAAAAGGCACATGAGGGCTGCATAATCTAATATTGTGTAATGCTGCATATCAGTAGGTTTGGCTGCTAGAGAAATTACCATGCATGTTCCAAAAATATGAATTGCAAATAAAAATGTAATTTCATTTTCTTCCCATAATGGTGATTAAATCCAATCCACCCACTCAAGAAATAAAGCAAGATGCATTATGTTGATATATTCATTCGCTTTAAAGAATAGGAATAAAAAGACGAATTTCACTCACAGATTATTCATTCTGATATATCATTATGTTATCTTTCTTGGTCTGGGATTCTCAATTCCCTAGCAGACATTATAGTCCCTAACCATGTTAGTTGGCAGAAGCATGCCTTAAATGTTAGTACAAAGTTCATTAGCCCACTTTTTGGACTGTAATTACCATCATCCCTCATCACTGAGTAAGCTTGTTATGCCTCCTGCAAACTTTGCCATCTGGAGGGCCATAGGTTCAGCTCTCATCACTGTACAATGCCAGTTGTATCTGTAAGAATTACTTGGGATAAGATTTAGCATGCTTTAGCTACATAGTGGATCTTTCCTCCAAGTAACATGCATAAAACCTTTTGGAGCATTAAGGCCCACCATTTTTCCTGGTTTTTTATGGGTACATGTAGACTTGGGCCCAGGAAAGAGAAATGTGGATTTTCCTTCTAAAACCCTTCACTAAAAAACTAAAAACAGTTGAGGGAATTATCTTTAAATAGGTTGATACCCCCATCACTTCCCTACAGTAAATCTTGTAATCGTGAGAATTCCTAGAGACTACCTGTATGCATTGAAATAAAACAGTTTTCCATTAATATGGCTTAGCATACATAATGCAAAATATATGACTCAAAACACCTTTGTAATTATATCTATTAGAGCCCTGGGTCTGTAAGACATCCACGAGATTGTAAAGTATCTTGTAAATCTCAGATCTACAAGCAGAACACTGTCTGCTAAGTAAGGTATTCAGATTTTAACCGGTATCTCACTTGTCAAGAAGAACGTGAAGATACAATTCTTGAAACCTTTACTCATCTATTACCCAAAATTCAAGAGAACTCTGAACTATTTTTCCCGCAAGATAAGCTGCAACTGTAGTTCAGACCACCTTCTGAACTACATTTAGTAGGCAGATAATCTGGATATGATAAAGAGAGAGCAAAATCCTCGTACTTAGCTAATTTTTCTCAATTAGAACTGTTTCAGAAAGAAGTAGTGTTGTCTACTCTGCCAGGAAGACTTCTCTTTACATAAACAAATGGTCATTATAAAGTTTGCAACCTAAAACAGAAGATTCCAAAAACTCCAAAAATTCCAAAAACTTGAATGTAGACAACAGACTGGCACCAGGTATCAACACGTTTTGTTTCCAACCTCACAACATTGAGACCAAGAGTGAATTAATTTTAGGGAATTTTCTTCATTCTAAGTGAAACCAGTAATTTACATTCTTTGCCATCATCGGCTCTCCTCCCACTCTTTGAGTTGATAGGGCAACATGGGAAAAGGCCCCATCTATGCTGACCATTCAATGCAGTTGAAAACAGGGTTTAAAATTGTGGTGGCCAGACAACAAATTCCCACTAAAGCATGTGAAATTGCGTATCAGTGCTCTGTGGTTTGTGCAACCATCATCTAGCCCTCAAACTGGTTGCAGGATTACCTATGTAATCATCTACACAGCAAAGACACTTTATTAGCCATATATAAATATGTGAAAGGATGTCATAAGGAAGTGGAAGCAGGCTTGTTTTTTGCTGCCCTGGAAACTAGGACTTGGAGTAATGAGTTCAAATTGCAGGAAAGAAGATTCCACCTGAACATTAGGAAGATCTTCCTGACTATAAGAGCTGTTCAGCAGTGGAACTCTCTTCTTGGGAGTGTGATGGAAGCTCCTTCCTTGGAAGCTTTTAAACAGAGGCCGGATGGCCATCTGTTAGTGGTATTTTAACTGTGCTTTTCCTGCACGGTAGGAGGTTGTACTAGGTGGCCCATGTGGTGTCTTCCAACTCTATTATTCTATGATTAATGGTCAGTGGAGGAGGCCCTGCTCTCGGTCCCACCCCCCTCTCAAGCACAGCTGGTGGGAACGAGAGAGGGGGCCTTCTCCATGATCGCTCCCCGTCTCCGGCACTCCCTCTCTAAAGAAATAAAAACAGCCTCCACCCTCCTCTCCTTTAAAAAACTTTTGAAGGCGTACTCATGCACTTTAGCATATGGAGAGTAGGAAGACTAAGATATGCTGGGAAACCCATCTGCACTATATGTTGGCTATGATACATTTTTCATAAACAGCTATGTTAGCCATTTTAAATGCAATTCATGTTTAACTGCTTTTAATAATATATGTTTAATGTTCATTTATGTCTTAGTTTTATTATGTCTTAATGTTCATTTATGTCTTAGTTTTATGTCTAATTGGTTTAATACTACCTAGTCCCCATTTCAACATTTACTTCTTTCATTATAAGTTTACTGTTATTATTGTGCATCATTTTGTATTATTCCTGATGTTGTTTGTTACTTTCTAAGGCACCGAATGTTTGCCTGTTTTTGTGCTGTAAACCACCGTGGGTCCCTTTTAGGTGAGAGGTGCGGTCTAGAAATAAAGTGTTATTATTAATCAGTTCACTAGATAATTTTGGCCCATCCAGCCATAATTTAATATCTGGCTCCTGCACTTTTCTATCAGCCCTGTTGTTGCAATTGTTCTGTGCAAGCCCCTGTCTCGCCCCCCTGCTCAGTATATGGCCTTCTGGTTAGGCTATTGGTTGCTTTGATAGTTATGTTTTCATGTTTTGTATTTGAGTTTTAGTGTGTTATATTTTAATTTCTGTCTGACTGGGCTTAGTCTCCCATGTAAGCCGCCTCAGGACCCTTCCAGGAGATGGTGGCGGGATACAAAAATAAAGTTATATTATTATTATTATTCAATACCAATGTGAAACTGACATAGGTGGCCAGTCTAGATGTGGTTTTATAGAGTGAGAGTGTGGGAGTCACCCTAAGTCACCCACTGGATTCCTTTTAAACGACAACTCCCAGAATATCACAGCCAGCATGGTTATGAATATGGCTATGATAAAAAAAGTAAAATAACATTTTAAAAGGATAGTAGGCTGGGGTTTAGTCTTAGGACTCCATGCGGATCCCCAAATCCATGGACACTCAAGTCCCACTGAATACAAAGGCATAGTGAAAGGACATCCCTTGCACAAAATGGAAAAAATCAAGGTTTACTTTTGGGATTTAAACATATATGTATATACACACACACACACACACACACCTCTGGAATATACACACACACATTTATTCATTTATGACATTTATATGCCGCCCTTCTCACCCTGAAGGGGACTCAGAGCGGCTTACAAGATATATATACATACAATATATTATATTATTAGCATAGTACTATATCAGTATTAAATATTACTATATTGTACTATACCATTATATTGTAATGTTATTAGTAATATTACATTCAATTTAAATAAATATCATATTATTAGTAGCAGTAGTATTATACTGCATTACATTATAATATTATAAATATTATATGTATATACAACATATTATATATTATATTATTAGAATGGCACAGGAGACAAGGTGGAACTGTCCCCTAGCCCGCTCTCTCTTCATACATGTGTGTGTGTGGATAGATAGATATATTTCTAGGTGTGTGACTGAATCTGTGGGTGCAGGATCCGTGGCTGCTGAGAAGAGGCTTGTCAGGGTCCCTCGCCTGTCGCCTTTTCTGCAGAAGATGCCTCCAAAGAAGGCCAGGCCGGTTTTCTGGCCCCTTCCTTCCTTCCATCCTTCCTTGCGTGCCCAGGCTCAAGGCTCGTCCAGACCGCATCCCTTCCTCCCAGGGAAGCAGCCCCCTCCCTCCCTCTCTCCCTCCCTCCCTCTCGGCGTTCCCTCACCGAGCTTCCCGCGGGACTCCTCCAGCTTCTGGATCTGGTTCTCCAGGAAGAGCACGGAGACCCCGAAGGCGAGCACCGCCAAGAGCTGCAACTTGGGCGGCAGCATAATCCGGAGCAGCCCCATCGGCGACAGCCACAGCCGCCGCCGCCGCCGCCGCTGCCCGCCTTGCTCGCACGTCGGCCCGCCCGGCGGGTCACGACATCCCGAAGGAAGGAAGGGGAAGCCGAGCTCCTCACATCCCTCGCCCAGGAACCGTCCTCTCGCCTCAGGAGCCAGTCAGCCGGCGCAGCGCCGTCGCCCTCGCGCTTTCCCGGCACGCGCCCCCTCCTCCTCCTCCTCCTCTTGGGCCGCCCAACCGCCAATCTGCGTGCGCTGCTCAGCAACCGAACGCCCGGCCGCGCTCACGCCCACCGCTCCTGCCACTGACCAGCCAGAGAACACGCTCCGCCCCCGACGCTTCCCTCCCATTGGCTGCACCTCTCCACCTCTCGCTTTCCCATTGGCTCCCTACTCAGTCCTCCCGCCCAGAAAGGCGCTTCCTCCTCGCGCACTCACTTCGCCGACCGCCCTCCCGCGCACGCCGCTTCCCGATTGGCCCAACGTACCCGTTACCATGGGTCGCGTTTTGATTGGGCAGCGTCCTTGTCAATCCTCAGACCTTCCTTCGTTATCCCCTGCGAGCATCCTCTTTGATAGTTGTCCCAAGATATGCCTGGGAAAAAAATACGAGTGCAGCACCTGTGATTAAAAGCACGGCGGCCCTTTTGTCACAGGCCAAGCCCACCTCCTATGTTAAAATCCTTCTAAACCGTCTGTCTCTGCCTGCGAGGGGCTGAAAAGCATTTCTCGTTACCGCTCGTATCCGGCAGTGCTTTAGCCACCCTATCGGCTCGGGGGCCTAACCGCTGCTTCCTCTGGTGTTGCCGGTGCCCCTTAGAGCGCCAACATGGCGGCGAGGAAGGCAGCGGGAGAGCTGGGCCGCTCTTGGGTGTGGCTGGTGTCGCTGTTGCAGGCGGTAAGTCGAAAGGGCTGCGGGCGATGGCTTTCTGCTCAGGAGGCCGAGGGCCCATCAGGAGAAGTGGGCGCGCTGTCGTGAGCCTTCAAGGCGCCCTAGGCTGAGCCTATCCCTGGTTTCTCTGAGGTGGAGAGAGTATGACTCTCACATTCACACCTAGCTCCAGCAGACAAGAGTCCTTTGTCCCACCCTGGTCTTTCTACAGATATATAAACCCATTTTTCTAGTTCCAACAGACTTCGCTACCTCTGAGGATGCTTGCCATAGATGCAGGCGAAACGTCAGGAGAGAATGCCTCTAGAACATGGCCATATAGCCCGAAAAAAACCTACAACAACCCCGTGATTCCGGCCATGAAAGCCTTCGACAATACAGAGTATGACTTACTTCCTGCAGGTCACCCAGTGGATTTGAACCCTGGTTTCCAGAGTCGTCGTCCCACTCTCGATCCTCTGCTGTGGCAAAAGAGAGAGAAGCGAGGGGCTGCTCTCCTTGCTTATCTGCCAGGTGGGATGCACCAATAAAACACAAGGCAAAGGAAAATTAGCTCACATTCATTAGCTGAACAGAGCAGTTGTTTGTCACAACCACTCTCCACAGTGAACAGAATGCCATCCTAATAGACCAAAACCCTAGTAACAGTGTTGAGGTCTCTCCCTCCCCTCCCGTTCCAAATATATATTGGAATTATATTCAAAAGGTACAATAAAATGTGATACCAAACAGTTTTTAACAAAGTACATTGGTTGCAGTTAAACATAAAAAAGCCAAGATTATGGCAACAAGAATGATTGACAACTGGCAAATAGAGGGAGAAAACGTGGAGGCCGTGACAGACATTGTATTTCTAGGTGCAAAGATTCCTGCAGACGCAGACTGCAGCCAAGAAACCAGGAGGAGAGCAATGACCAATCTTGATAAAATAGTGAAGAGTAGAGACATCACACTGGCAACAAAGACCCACATAGTTAAAGCAATGGTATTCCCCATAGTCACCTACGGATGTGAGAGCTGGACCGTAGGGAAGGCTGAGCGAAGGAAGATAGATGATTTTGAACTGTGGTGTTGGAGGAAAGTTCTGAGAGTGCCTTGGACTGCGAGAAGATCCAACCAGTCCATCCTCCAGGAAATAAAGCCCAACTGCTCATTGGAGGGAAGGATACTAGAGACAAAGTTGAAGTATTTCTGGCCACATCATGAGAAGACAGGAAAGCTTGGAGAAGATAATGATGCTAGGGAAAATGGAAGGAAAAAGGAAGAGGGGCCGACCAAGGGCAAGATGGATGGATTGTATCCTTGAAGTGACTGGATTGACTTGAAGGAGCTGTGAGTGGTGGCGACCGACAGGGAGCTCTGGCGTGTACTGGTCATGAAGTCACGAAGAGTCGGAAACAACTGAACGAATGAACAACAACAAAACATTATGAATACCATTCAGCCACATTTTACAATATAGAAATCTCAAAGCAAGTTGTAAAAAAACTTGTACTTGGTGGAAGAAAGTGCAAAATTCGTTTAAAACAGGCATACATATTTAAAAACACTTTTTATGGTCTTCAGTTTTGTAGGCCTGTGATACCGTATTTGGATACATGTTTAAATTATAACTTTGTGCTGTTTCATCTAGTGAACTTATAGTCATGCTTTTTATGTATCTGCAGCCAAATTCTGTAAAGTGAGAAATGAAATAGGTCAAAGAGAAGTTTTAGACAACAGATTGAATTTAATTCTTAAGCAATGTATGGGCACAAGAAGAGCTATTTGGGATGGGACCAAAGGCCAGTCTAGCCATTGTTCTGTTCATACAGTGGCCAAACATGATTACCATGGGAAGCTCCCATGAGTACCACATAAGTGCAGGAGTACTCTCATGTTCATATTCCCCAGTAATTGATGTACAGAAGAATGCTCCCTCTGATACTGGAGATAGTATGTATTCATTTTGACTGGTAACCTTCGATTTCCTCATGCCCATCCTATACTAATCTTTCCATTCTGCTTTTAAAGCTCCCAAAGTTGACAACCACTTTTGTTAGCACTATGTGAAATAGTCTTAATAGCATATCATTCAATTTCAGTGAATAAAGCTGGGTATTAATATTATGAGAATACAAATAATCCTATTTTTAATCTGTTTGCCACACCGGGCCTAATTTTGTACACTTTTACTATGTCTCCCCTTACAACTTTTTCGTCTGGCTATTTGATCACTTTCATTGTCTTCTCCTACACCTTCTTGAGCTGTATGAATATTTTCAGATGGCATTTTGAATAGTTATAAATTATACTTACACTGTGACTAGTTTTGTTGATATACCTCAATTGCTTTCAGGTATCTGTCTATGGGGCAGAATTATCGTCAGAGGCATGCAGGGACCTGGGCTTCTCAAGTAACCTGCTGTGCAGTTCTTGTGACCTTCTTACCCAGTTTGCTTTGAATCAGCTGGATCCATTGTGCAGAAATTGCTGCCAAGAAGAAGCTCAATCTGAAACTAGAAAGGTATGTTTGATCATTATGTTTGAAATAACTAAGCTGGGCCATAACATAAGATGTGTTGTATTGCATTACTGTCATGTCATGGCCTTGCTTTTATTTTTGTCCCACAGCAGGGACTCAAAGCAGTTAGATGTAAAATTACCAGGTCTAGGGTTCTTTAATTAAAGTTAAAGTTAATTACTCCTATATAACTCTAGAAATTTTAGTTTAAAAATCAATTAAAAATGGCTTGTCCTATCAATGCAGTACTGCAACTTTGTCAAAAAAGGAACCATCCCCTTCTCTAAGTAGAGTACAAAAGGCAAGAACTAGTCCATCCCAGAAGAACCTAAAAGAAACACCAACATCTTCTACTTTCTCTGCCATGGCATAGCTCTTGGGCTTTTTGTCTGCCTGATTGGGAAAATGATAATAGCAACCATGGGTGGCTGGCCCCTTTAGGAGGTTGTGATGTTTTCTCTTCTCAATGGAATGATCGTCAGTTTAACCACTGGTTGTATCAGAATCCATCATTTTGGCCCCCAAACTTCCCCTTAACTTAGGCATGAGGTCCACATATACACGAGTATATAACAGGTATGGGCAAACCCAGGCCCTAGAGCTCTTTTCTCAAATCCTCCTCTCTCTCACCGTCATATCCTTCCTTCTATCTTTCCTTCCTCCCTCTTTCTTACTCCCTCCCTCCTTTCCTTCCACCCCTTTCCTCCTTCCCTCTTCCTTCCTTCCTTCCTTCCTTCACTTTTGTCTTTCCTTCCTTCTCTCTTTCCCCCTTCCCTCCCTCCATTCCCTCCCTCCTCCCCAATTCCCTTCCTTCCTTCCCTCCCTCCCTCCCTTTCTTCCTTCTCTTTTTTTTTACTCCTTTCCTCCTCTGCGATGTTTAGCTGGGAGAAGAGGAGAAGGTAGAGAGAGAATATGAGAACTATGTTTCAAGATTTAAAAGGATGTTGCATTGAGGAGGAGGGGGAAATGCTCTAGAGACCAGGGCACAAGGGAGCAGTGGTTTCAAATGGCAGGGAAAGGGATTCGACTGAAAGGATTAGGAAGAACTTCCTGAGAGTAAGAGCAGTTGGAGAGTGGCATAGGCTGCCTCGGAGTGTAGTGGATCCTCTTTCTCTGGAGGCTTTTCCGCAGAGTCTATTGGGAGTGATTTATTGTGCCTTCTTGCGTGGCAGGGGTTGTACTGAATGGCCTTGGGTGTCTCTTCCAGCTCTAGGATTCTATATGAGGAGTAGGCAATATGGGGTCTAATTGAGACACTTTTTCTCTCCCGTCGACCATTTCATCCTGACTAAGGTGAACCCTTTTGGGATCAAATGTTCCCCATCTTTCCTTCACTTTCTGCCTCCGAAAAAAAGGAGGAAGGGGAGGAAAGGGCAGGGAGGGGGCTTTAGGAGAACCCTTTTCCTCCTGGCCCACCCACCCCACTCCAGCCCACCATATGGTCCCAAGTTTAAAAGTTTGCCCATGCCTGGTATATACAATAACTTTTAGCAGCTATGTTAATCTAGACTGTTGACATAGCCTTTGTTACTGTTAGTGATATTCCCGATTCTTGAATATCAAGGTTCTGTTTCTGAAAGGTTATTCGTTTTCAGAAATTTGATCAAAAAGCATAACAAAATCTGTGAGAGAAGGCTGGACAGCTTCAGAACATTAAACCAAATGCACAGCATTAAAACAAATTATGGCTTGCTGATTTATTTTGTTTTTACCAGTTAATCAAGTTCCTTTAAAATAGAAAGTATTTTGAGCTTTAATGTATTCAGAAGCTAAGTGAACTATACTTATTGATAGTGTAATGAAGTCAGATTACATGCAGTGCAAAAGATATTACAGATTTTAAGTGGTTTCTGCTTTTGTGGTAAAAATAGCTGTTGAGTAATATGGAGTCTCTTTCTGCCTTATAATAAAATATTTATGGTGCTCACAGGGACCAGTCCAAATATTGTTAAATACATTTTGAAATCCCTTTTTAATATCAAGGTTTCACATCAAATACCACTAGTTTCTATTACTTTTTTTTCACAAAAGTCCTACATTGCTTTGAGCATTTGATTATGGTAATGGAGATTCTGTAACTAAGAAATTAGGGGAAAAATAGGACTTAGGGTAAGGTGTAATTGCAAAAGAACTAGATGAAATCAAGTATAAATATGTATTCTTGAATACCAAAGTTAAGATCGTTTGTGCATTGTATTGACAATTTCATAGAATTATAGAGTAATGGAGTTGGAAGAGACCACAAGGATTATCCAGTCCAAACCCTTGCCATGCAGGAAAACACAATCAAAACAGATAGCTATCCCGCCTCTATTTGAAAGCCTCCACAGAAAGAGACTCCATCACACTTCAGGGCAGTGTATTCTACTGTCAGGCTGTTCTCACCTTCATGAGATTCCCAGTGACTAATAAATGAGTCTGAGAGTATATCAAGCATGAACCCGTCCTAGAACCCAAAAATGACTAAACTGAGACTATTCTGGCCACGCCATCAATGTTTATGAGTCATTAGAAAATATGATAGTGTGTGGTAAAATGGAAGACAAGAGGCTGTAAGCAGAGCTAAGCAATTTGAAGAACCAGGGTAGGCATGTTGTGAGGATGTTTCACTCTTATGGTTCCCATAAGTCAAAGTTGACTTGATGGCAATTAACAACAATAGTTAGAAGAGAAGACCAAATGAGTTTCACTTTTTGCTTAGCTATCTTTGGCAGCACAGTCTAATGCACAGTCTTAACAACACAGAACTATTCTCCAGAGAATTAGCGTACTATCACTATAATGTACAAGAGTTAACTTGTTCGTATTGAAGATGTACGTGGGTGAACTAGGTCGGCTTAAGAAACTATTCCTAGCACTTAGGTTCAGTTGGAGTAAAGGAAATCCTTATAAGCCGTATGGAGGAGGGAGACAACATGCATATGTTAGCATTCAAATTGTATAAAGCAAACTGAACATGGAAAATTTTGCTCACCGAATGCATACCCTCTACTCCCAGTTTCCTTCACCAGTCCTTCCAGCAGCAGACCAGGACTGGACTCTCACATAAATATTACAGCATCAGACTTGGGCATCCATGCCTTCTGAACCCAGTTTCCCATCTAGTGTTACTCAACTGACAAATCAGAAACGCCACCACCACTAAAAAAAAAATGAAAGGGGAGATGAAACTAAGGGAATTTAAAAAAAGATCCTCCCATGATTTTTCAATTCCTTTTTTCCTAACTTTTGTGCATGTTGTGTTGTTTAAGCAGGTAAAACTTAGCTGGATGTGTGTGGTTTTTACTTGATTTGTACCCACTGAGAATCAACATAGCTTTGTACAAGAGTAACCTGCTATTTTTAGTAGATGAGTTCTCAATATTCATTATGCTGAGAGTACCCTGTGGGTATTCCTGTTGATTCAGAGAAGGTCTTCAATCAAGTGCCCTTGAATTGTATGCTCAGTGTTTCAGAAATTCTCCGCTGCAGGGAATAAAATTTGTTATCTCAAACTTATTTATAGAAGCTTCAGGGTTTCATTGCTTACAAATGGAAGCTGCTCTGAATATTTTATCTTTTAAAAAGGCATGAGCGAAAACTGCCTTCCTTTTCATTATTTTTTAGCAAATGACACTCCTTTTTTTAACCTAACAACAGTTACAGCTCTTTAAAAAATCATATTTTTTTTACCAAACAACTGTCTTACGGGCAGCAGAAAGCAAGACTAGCCTCTTCAAGGTGTTGTTCTCAGCTGGTCTAGATGCCATGATCAACCATAGTCTGTTATGACAGGAATGAACCATTGCAAACCTCAATTTAACATACTCCTTCTCTTTCTTTGGTTTATCTATGAAGAAACTAGAGGCATTCACTTCCCATTTTGATTATGTGATCATTCCATCCCAATCTAAAAACAACATGTGGTTAATTTTAACTAGAGTTTATTTGAAACCTGTCATGACTAACATTAACCACAATTTAAAGTATTGATATTCAAATATGGAATTGAACATTTCTGATGCTCCACAGGTAGGGCTGCCAGGTTGAATAACCATGAACAGTTCATGGATCAGGAAGAAGTACAGTAAAGATCTATCAGGCAGAACAACAGCACATCTTCTTCACACCTCCCAATCCAAATTTTAGCTGTTACAGCTATTTACTGTCCAGTTGAGGGGAGGCATGAACATCATCCTGTAACTACATAGATGCCCAGCTTGTGCATTAATTACCTCTTCCCAGTCCAGGTTCTGTTAATGGTTAGTTACAGGAGCCCCATCCTATAGTCAGCCTGATAACCTCAACCAGTAGGGAAGAAGGTTATTTGAAGCTTGTTCTTGTCAAATGATTTATTATGGCAGTCTTTATTAGTCAGTTGTCCTGGAGAACAGAAAGAAAGCACTGTCATGTGCAGGAGATTATTTCAGACAGTTTGGAGATTATGATAAACTTTTCTTTTTGAATAGAATAACATTGTACATAACTGATCCACTCTTCCTTTAATGCAGATGCCCCTATTCTGTATGCTACCAGATTATGATCATGTTCCAGACAATAATTATTTCTCCTGAATAATTGGTTATTTGTCTCCAATCAAATCTGGCGGTGTGACTTTTGGAAATATCCCTTTCTCTATATTTAGAGATACCTTAGCAGTTTTTTTCATCCTGGTGACATCAGGTCCTTTCCAAAATGTAACCTGACAACAGTTGTGGAGGTCCTGGCTCAATATGAATTTCTCTGATAATTGCATTATTAGTTACAACTTCAGCTCACTGACTTAAGATGTATGTGACCCAATTTTTAAATTATGCCTTCAGCTTAAACTTTGTTTTGGTTAAAAATAAGAACTGGATTTAAATATCTAACTTCATTTGCTCATTCTTCTTTGTCCCAAGGGCGCACATGCCATAATTATCAGGGAAAGCATCCATCTCCCATTAGTGATAATTTCCAGTGCATTTTATATTTTCCCACTATACAAAATGTCCGTGAATTTGGATGGTGAGCTAAAACCAGAT